CTAGTTCAGCAATGTAAGAAGGCATTTTTTTCCTTTCTCAGATGCTTTTCTTGACATCTGCCCACATATTTTTGATCAGGTTGAAGTCTGAACTTTAAGCGGGCTATAAAAGAACATGCAGGTCATTTTCTACATGAAAATTCTTCGCCTGTTTCGATTTGTGAAGCCGAACATTATCCTCCTGAAAACTATCACCATTTGGAAATGCATTTTAAAGTATGAATCATGTAAACAAGGTTTGAAACGTCATATGATCGCAGTATTTCTAAGTCACATGAAATTGCCGATATTGAATCGCATCTAAAAGGTGGTATTCAGAGACTTTTAGCGACCCTCTGTATATTAAAAAATATATTTACATCTTAGTTAGTTATATTATTCAAAAGGTTTACATAAAAGTTATGAGTTATATCAAATAGTTTATTTAATAAATGAAGAAGTAAAAGATATAATAATAATAAATAGAAAAATAAGAAAAGAAAGAAATTAATTATACAGTTAACTAAAGGTTACATATATTTTACTAATGAACTAATCAAGTTGCATTTAGTAACTGATAGTCACCTTCTTATTAAGAATTGGTCTTCTTTATATACTTTTAATATAAATCTAATATATTATATATGTTAGATATATCTGATATATTAAATATATTAAATATATTTGACATATTTGACATTTTAATTTATACTTTCTTATATTACATAAATTAAATACATCTATTATGTTGATCATATTAACTATATTATTTATGTAACTACTTATAATACATTATGTAAATTAATTAAGTTATGATAATCTTATTACAATAGTATAATATTAATTCAAATAATAATTTCTTAGGTTTAACTTACTGAAATTCTTAAAAATCTTCTACTAGATTTATTAAAAGTAAAGACTTTTCTATATAACAAACTAAATAATCAATAATAAATAAATTTATGATTTTGCATTTATTTTATTCATAAATTTTACATTTATTAAATAATTTTAATTATTTAATGTATAATATAATATTAGATACATAAGAAATAGTTTATTAGTTATTTAAAAAATTTAATTAAGTTAATACATTTTTTAAAAAATAATTAGCTTATTGAAACAAAATAAAAATTTTTAATTAACAATTTCTTTAGATACTAATATTTATAAATAATTCTATAAATATTAACAAAGTATAAAAGAAAGAAAATCTCTAAGTTTATATAGAGTATATATACACAGATCATATAATATATATTTATTACTATTGTTACTTCTCCTCTTCTTTAGTTTTTACTATTTATTTCAGAAACTTAAAATTTTTTTGGTGAAAAATTCTTATTTATCACTTATTATCTGTCACATGATCATCATATAAGTAATTTCTTAATTTTTTTATGTTAGTAAAAATAATGTTAATACTAATCATATCACGTAATTTGTATATAATACATCTATATATAAATAGAAATTGCTAAAAGAAATATATCTGAAATTAAATGTATTTATATAATTACCTTTTATAATAATATCTAATGCTAAAGTATTAATATTCATATAGTAAAATAAAATTGATTAACAGCTAAAAGATCTGATAAATTTTATAATAATTAAAATAAGAATATTTAAAATAAGAATAAAATAAAAACAATAATAATATCTTAAGAAATTATAATACAAAAGAGATTAAATTAGATGAATATAATTTTGATAACATAAATTAAATGATATAATTAAATAATTTTTAAAAGAAATAAATAATTTATTAAATAAAATATAAAATATAACTAATGAAATAGATAATAATGATAAAGAATTTATTGATATTTTTACAATGAATAAAATTTTAATATTAAAAAATTTAAGAAATCTGATTATAATATTGATTTTTTATAAATATATAATAATAAATAATAAAATATAAATAATAATTAAATAAATCATTTTACATTTATATGTTAATAAATAAACTTAATTACATTTTTAAGTTTTTTTAATAATTTAATTAAAGCTTTAAAAACTTAAAATATTTTTAAATTTCATCTTTAAATCTACCTTAATTAATCAAACTATTCTTTAATAACCTTTTATTTTATTAATAATTCTTCAATATTTTCATTAAATTTCAAATTTTATTTAATAATTAATGATTTTATTTTTTCATCTATTTTGATTTATTTGATTAAAAATAATAATAAATTTCAATAATTTAAAAAATTAATTAAAAATTAATTACTATCAAGAATGATTGAAGAGCTATAATCTTAATTATACTTATCTTTAGCTGTTACTATTTCTCTAATTTATACTTTCAACAACATATAATATACTAGATAAATTTTCATCTTGACATTTGCATAATCTTTATATTAAAATATTTAATTAGTATAATTATAAAAATTTTAATATAAAATTATATTAACTTTGATATATTGAAGGTTTGCTATTAAAATCACGTTACGAATCATATGATTTTCTATTTATTATTTCTATTTACATGTATAAATGAACTGTAGTAACAAATTCATTCCATTCTTTAAAATATCTAAAATATTTAAGAATAAATTAAATTATACGTTAGTATTTTAAAATAAATAATATCTTTGAAATTACTCGTTTGTAATATATAATTTGAGAAGTAATGCAAAATATAACATTATCCAATAGCCCACTCTTCTGCTTTACATCCAGCATAATATTTAAATATATTTCAAGGAAGTCTGCAAAATTCTAAAAGTATTATTTTTTTGTTTTCATTCATTATTTGATCAATTTCATTCAAGATGATTTTTGTATAATAAACGGATATTTGAATTATTAAAAATTGATTACGGAACATATGCGATGCAATATTTTCAAAAAATAAATGCATAATATCAATTGGAAAATTCTATTGTAATTCAAATAAAATGCTTTTTCCTTTGATTCCTAAATTAAATATAATTAAATATATTCATTAAATTAAATGTATAATGTAAATAATTATAATCATATAAGGAACTTAATATTTTATATTGTAGGTGGGAGAAATATATAGAAAATTTTCTGTAAATATAAGTGGGATAATTTATTTTGGAATCTAGTGTAGTAAAAGAGTATGGGGCAATTAACAATAGAAATAAATTAAGTTATAGATATTTTGTGTAAACGCGAGAGAGCAAAGAAATAATTGATGCTGGGACTCGCATTAAATGGTCTAGGATCCGCGTACCTCACTCTTTGATAGCATCATACATCTCATTCGCTTCTCTAGCAATTTCTGATTCACTATGTATCTGAAAATCATTAATAAAGTTCAGGGCATTTGTATCGAATATTTTTTTCTGATAATGAAGTTTAATTTGCAAAAAAGAGCATTGGAATTATGTGTTGTGATATATTAAGCAGTTCGCAATTATAAATAATTATGTGACTCGACTCACACTTCATAATTTTATGCCTTGGGATCCATATCTGGCTTACTGATTTCTGAACACGAAGGAAATGAGTTGGTATACTGTAATTGGAAGACGTGTAAAAGAGTTTCAAATATCTAGACTGTAACTAGCATAAAGCCTTCGAGAATCTCAATAACATAGATCTAGACTGTAACTAGCATAACACCATCAGAGAAGAAGCTTGAAGCCTCGGCTCCTTGTTACAGGAATAGCATAACGCCTCAACACATAGACCTATATCATAAAGCCTTAATCACATAGATCTAGACTGTAACTAGCATAACACCATCGGAGAAGAAGCTTGAAGCCTCGGCTCCTTGTTACAGGAATAGCATAACACCTCAATTCTAGATCTATAGCATAAAGCCTTCGTGACTTACGAGTCCTAGACGCGTTTCTCTAGTGAATGTGGTGAGTAGCCACCAAAAACGTGATCACGAAATTAATGGTCAAGTGCACGTGATTTTGTAATTGCATCATTACTGCGCCTGTGATCTATGGAACGCGACGCGTTTTGGCGCAGTTTCATTTTTTTTAATTTTTCATCTTCGTTCGCTATGGCTTCTTTGGACGACTATATGATTCAGACTCCTGCGGACGAATGGTCACTTCTAGGCTTCCTTATTTTTCGCAAGAGACAAGATGATTTCTCGGGAATAAAGGATAAAGAACATTACAGATTCCAAATGAGTTTGCTAGCCGTGCAGTCATGCGATATATTCACCACAGTTGAAAAGGCAAAGGCAACATGTTGCCTCAACAATTTCAAGGTGAGTCTTTTAGTTAAGCAAAGACGGAAGAAACTTTGGAAAAGCGAATTTATTACAAGTCCTGTGAAAAAGGATTTTTAAAGCAGTGACTATCTTTTGTTGATTATGCATATTGTACTGAAAATAGAAAGAGATTAACGAAGAAAATGTTTGTCGTTTTTGGCGTATCACCATTCGAGAAAAGCAAGAGGTAAGTAAGTAAGAATTGCATCGTATTAATGTCCTTCTGGTATCTATCTTACATAAATGTTCTTTTCTTTTCCAAAGTCAAAATTAATCACTCTTGAGGGTGAAATCAAGATTTCTCAAAAAAAGAAAAATTTGCTGGTTGAACGTGTGGCCCTTCAGCATGTACGCTAGCTTCGTTAATTATGACTTTTTTTATGATTTTTTAATTAAGGTTGTGTTTGACTAGACTGAGCTGCTATACGCTACCGCACAAGAAGCCGGGAAGCAATCGCAGATTGCACAACAAAAAATAACTAATGAATTGGTATGTGATAATACTTTCTAAGTTGTTTTTGTGTCTCTCTCACTTATCTTCTACAAGTACCAATTAAAATTGTACATCACTCACGAATGATGTGAATTTTCAAAAATGAAAAGAAACGACCAGCTGAGGAAGCTTCTCCTGTCATTACAACTCCTCCCAACCTTCGTGTTCGCTCCCCCCCTCCATTTTATAACAACGAGGATAATTCTTTTGGCGATTACAACGAAGAATCAAACGAAGTTGAGGATGCATCAACTGAGGCCTCTCCAGTAATTTTTTTTGTTTTGTTTGTCTTATGATGTGCATAAGCTCGTTTCTAATCTGTATTGCTTGTATTTCTGCAGGATGAGATAGACATTTTGACCAGTTCTGAGTTCGAAAATATTAATAAGCCTATCGACAATCCGGTAAATATTAAGGAAAATTATCTTATGAAGAGGTAATAGATATGAGTAACCATTTTACTAATCCGTATGTTACATTTCAGGATAAAGAGGGTGTAGAGTCAGATGATTTGGAATTTACTGATTCTTCAATTTCGAATGAATCCAAAAAGGTAAAGTATCATTTATATAGTTTTTCAGAATAACTAGCAAATTCTTGAATATTAATTGATTTATCAGTCAAAGATGATCCTCTCGTGGAAGCACGTTACTGAGAAAATTATAATTGATCGTAGTTCGGATCATGATGTGAGTATTGAAAAAATTTTTCATAGTGGTAGTTTTCTACATTAATCATTGATCTTTTGTCTATAGTGGATCATGAATGGATACAATATTTCCGAAGACTTTCGTGAATTTCAAACACAAACTGTGGAACAGTTAAAGAACAACCCATCCTTCTCGTACGCCACAGATGTTGACAAAATATTGTAGGTATTTTGCCTACAAAGTATAGATTTTGTTTCAATATTTAACTTTTATATATAATTGCAGATGTCTCTCTTCGATAATGTATGTGAAAGAAGACAAACCCGAGTATGTCAAATGCTCTGATCAGATCTGGAAGAGTGTTATGCCTAGTCTACTAACCCCCGAAACATTACCAGTTGTTGTTAAGCTCATGATCTTGGAGTATAGCGAGGTAAATTCTATAATAACTTCTTTGATATTGAGAACATTGCAATAAGTACTGTAATTTACAAAAGTAATAATTTGTGGTTTAGATTCTAATGAATAAAGATTTGTTACTAAAAACATGGCATCAAAATTGGGCAAAATGGGACCCCGCAATGACCGAGGAAGAGAAGAAAATATTTGACTGCGTACAACTTGTTATGAGAAACTTGTAAGTTTTAAACCTAATGAAGAATTTGCGGGTATCAACATTATTATGCTTATGACTATATATTCTGTAGTTTCTTGACCTTAACATCAAATGGCATCGATCATAAAATGGACGAAGATACTTTCGCCCATAGATATTTCCATTTATTGTTAGAGGAAATTTTTAACACAAATGATTATAAATTTGTTTGGTAAGTTTAAATGTGCCTGAAATCTTCATAATGCAACTATTTAATATATACATACTTATTGTTTCTTTAAATTTGTAATTCAAGGGCCAACGGAGAGTCTTCGAGCTCTAAAAACCGACGGAAAGCCGACAATCACATGCACGGAAGGAAACCTGATTTTCGGGTTCTCTTCAGTAAAGAAGATAAAAAATACGAAATCACCTATGGAGAAATAAAGCCTCCATCTACACCTAATAATGTTGTGAATAAAGCGTTGATAAAACTCGCCGAGTTCATGAAGGGATCCTTGGATGATATAGGTAACAAACCGGGATTTGAAACATTTAGCATACTCGTTAATGGTAAGTTGTCCTATCATAATTTTTACTAAAATTAACGATCAGTTTGCCAAGCTAATCTGATATAATTCAACAGGTTCCCATGTTAAATTATTTAGCATGGATCTCAATTTCGATGGTGTATACCGTCTTAACCAAATTGGAAAAATGATCATGCCAACTGAGCATGCCAATTTTTTAACTATTATTCCAGTTATTTCGAATTTCTACAGCTTATTGGTAAGAGTATAATGATCTTTTATAATTACACCAAAGTATAACTTCTGATTATTTATTTCTTTCATTCAGAGAAGGGTTGACCGTGCTATTGGGATTCTAAATGCTCCATCTACACCGACAAATCAATCCTATCATAGATTATCAAATTCGTCACCACAAAAAGTTATCTCAGTATTGAAACTCCCGCCTCCTGTGGTTTCTTAACAATTTAGCAAGTTTCAGCCTTAATTTAATTACCATACATTTTACTCAATCACTTATTATTTGCATCAGTTAGCTTGCCTGGCTTTCTTAATAATTCATTTACAAAAAAAATATTTCACTTCGACATTTTAACTTCGAAATTTTAACTTAGAAAATTGACGAAATAGAACGTGCACATACTGGAATGGAAATTTTAATCCGTTTACACTTCGGACTTTATCTCTTTTGTGGTGTGGGGTTTAATGTGTTCATTGGAATAATAAAAATATATGAATGTAGCTCTCGCTAACTACAAAACTGACCTTCCTAGTGATTGTGTGCATGTGAATTTTAACAACGCCCTCACTGAAATTTGGTCATGTGTTTTCACGTATCTGGTATGGAATTTGCAAAAGATTTTTTAAGGTACATCGGAAGAGTAATTACGATAGCATATTTATATATCTGCTAATAAAAATTTTTCTTGGCAATAAATTGTAACGCGCAAGTGATTTTTTATTTTTTCATTCATTGATCGTTTTCCCAAATGTATCGCGGTATATATGGGAGCCGATGATGTATTTTTGCCAATCGCGAAAAACATGATTTTAATATCCAGTTAATGAAATACATTTAGTGTGGTTTATCTTATAGTATTACATATTTTCGTGGTAATTTATCCCCTCGAAACTTTGTTTCTTCAGAATACTCTTTTTAATAAAGCATTTCTCAGAATCATTCCATCAAAATCGGTTAGACAATCATGTGTATGATTCCAACCTACTAGCAAAATTGCCGACTTTTTATAATAAATGAGGCATGGATATGTTTCACATCACGGAAGTATGATCCATTATCTGAGAAAGAAGCCAATAAAATTAATCCAATTGTTAAAACATGAAGCTAAAAAAGTTTAATTTGCTCAATTATAAAAAAGAGAAGTTCATGCAAATTCAATTCACTTTGCAACAGTAACCCTTTCATATGATTTTAATAATATTTCATGTAATACATCCAAGAATCAAACGTTTAATAATACAGTCCCTGGCGAAAAGAATGGCGGTAGAAATACCGCATCTATTTTAGGCCATAGTGTAACTGCATATCCGATTTAGACCATTGTTTATATGACCAAATCGGGCATCGGAATCCTAATTTAAAAGGTAAGTTAAAAAAAATGGGTTTGTTATTGTTTTTGTTTTGATTTCATCTCCGAAAAATGCCAAGCTCCCTTGAAATACAACGAAACTCCGTTAAGTCTCTTTAGGACCAAAACATGCGTAGTGTAAAGGAAATTCATAAACGATTATGCATTTCTTTATGCACATGTAAACGATATGTCAGTTTACTACGTAAAACTAGCAATATTACTATTGGTCATTCTTCTGGCTACCCAAGAAAATTGTCTTTGAACTAACGCCACCATTGAAAAAGTTTTGCAATACAACTGCTTCATAACGGCGGCTGAACTAAAGACCAAATTAGGAGAAAAAGATCCTGAGCTTGAAGTCAGTGAATGTACAATATGTTATGAGTTCAATAATCTCAGTTACGTCTCTATTCTTTCACAAAAAGTGCCTCTCTTAACCCAGAGAGCAAAGGATGTTTGCTTGTCTTAAGCACGTGAACACTTGTATTACAACTGAAAGAAAGTTGTTTTTTCTGATAAAACAACACTTCAGATATTTAGTAACACCATTCATGCATATTCTCACGACGCTTAACCAGTTGCTTCTATGATAAAACATTTATTTAAGATCCATGTTTAGGTAATAATTAGTGTCAAAGAAAAAGTCAGAATTCATCTATTTACAGAAAATTTGGATCATCATTTGTACTGAAGAATCTTAAACGATCATTTGTATGACAATGTAACTATATTATACGGTTGTAACTAGGTCTTTCAATAGGATAGTAACCTGAAATACAAATCACAAGATGTTTAGCATAACTTGAAAGAACATCTTCTAAGACAAGTTCTTTCTTGGCCTTTATACAGCTCAGATCTGAATTCTATTGAAAATGTATAGACTGTTTTAAAGAAAAAGTAGAGAGAAAGGTTAAGAATTTAGTGGCAAAAATAAAAAAATCTCACAAGAGATTTTTCTTACCATAATCTGACAAGAATAAGATAATTTTAATAATAGTATGTTTAAAAATGGTAACTATAATTATTCTATTATGTTATAACAAATAATAAATTAATTAAGTAATATAACATTATTAACTTAATTAACCACAAGTTGCAATTAGTTATAATTTTTA